GCGCGCGCCCGCGCACCCTAACAGGAGCGTGGTTTCTTGCCTTCGCTGTTAAAGGATGACTTCTGTGTAACTGCCAGAAATAAAAATACCCTAGAGACACTTGTGTCCCACACAGTCTGACTATTGGACTACTGAAACAATGAACCCCAAAGAAATGGGAATTTCCTCAGGAATCTCATGCTGGGAGAAGGAAAAGTCTTACTGAGATAACCCCTCTTCTCACCTTTGGGCTTTCTTCCTGTCCAGCCTCTTAGTCCAGTTCCGAGACACCCGACAGACAAATCTTTGGACTGCACCCACCCCCTCCGAATGCTGACATTTGTCCCAGGGCATTAGCCAAACCCTGCACACAAACTCTTATGAAATCTTTTATTTAAAAGAGCAAATTTCCCATCCATTCACTCATTCTTTCTGTTCCTCCATCCCATTTACTGTGAGCTTCTCCCAGCCAGGCTTTGCAGGTGCTAGGGCAGTCCTGGCTTAGTGGAATTTGAGGCTAGTGGAGAAGGTAATGTCAATCCAAGAGCCCCCTTACCCAAGTCCTAACCCTAGTATAAAGTCCAAGACAGTGTAAAGTCCATGTTATTTATTAAACATTTGCTAAGGGTCTGGAATGTTGCTGAAAGGGATTTTAAGGACTGCTAAGCCTCTCGACCATCCTAGAGAACTGGCCCTGTTGATTTCCCAAAGACCTGTCATCCACAGGATGATGGGAGCCGCCAGTGGGAAAAATTCACCAATCCCATTTCCAGTTTCTGCAAGGTCTAGATTTAGGTTCTACCTCATCCCAGGCTTTTATGTAAATATCCAGATTCTAACATGTGTAAATATACTGAGTTTAGGGCAACTGTTAAGAAAAGTGATTTTGTTTATTTCAGTGCTGAAGATCTGACCCAGGGCTTTGCCCATGACAGGTCTGAAAAGTTTTAATACTAAGACTCAACAGCAGCTATCTAAAGGACACCAAAAATTAGATTACTACTTAGATCAAAGTTAAAACTGTACTGTCCCGGTCCAAATGCAATGGGCTATAAATACAGCAATGGCGCCCCCTGATGATCATCGCTGCACACTACACGTCATATGGTAGCAGAGGAGTGCCAGAGGCTTGGATTAACATTAGATCTCCCATACTTTTAATCGCCTTCATTCTTAGTCTCAATCCTCAACACATCTGGTTTATAGAAATTGCAAAGGCCAGCGTACAGGGCATTGGGAGCTGCACCCCATCTTGGCCCAGAGTTCCAAGAGCCAAAACACAGGGTGAGATGTGAACCTCTGTCCAGCATCACTTTCCTACTAGGTCATGGCAGATTGTCCGAGCATTTCCTGCTATACTGGAACTTTTTAAAGATGGTGATGGTGGTGGTTTGAAAGAAAATGGCCCCCATAGGCTCATAGGCTCTTAGGAGGCATGGCCTTTTTGGAATAGTTGTGGCTTTGTTGGAGGAAGTGTGTCACTGGGGGCAGGATTTGAGGTCTCAGATAACTCAAGCGAGGCCTAGTGGCTCAATGTTTCTGCTGCTTGCAGATCCAGATGTAGAACTCTCAGCCCCTTCTCCAGTACCACATTTGCCTGCATGCCACCATGCTTCCTACCATGACAATAGGGACTAAAGCTTTGAACTGTAAACCAGCCCCATTTAAGAGTTGCTGTGGTCATAGTGTCACTACAGAGCAATGAAGATAGTGAATAAACATGTTCCTATCCACATACAGTCTGCTCAAACAGTTACTGGAGTTATTAGAGTCAGAGCCTGGGCCCTGGCAACCCTAACAAGCCAGGCCCACCCACCTACTCACCTGCAAATGGCCAACCAATGAGACATGTTGGAAAGCAGAGAAAGAGTTAGTCAATGTGAGCATGTTGGAAAGACTGCACCAGAGACCTAACATGAGGTGCAGGCTTAGACAGAGGGCAAGAGGTATGCATGATCAAGCTGGTCAAGCTGGGATGTATTTAGTGTCTCCTGCAAGGTGGTCCTCAATGTGGTCAGGATGGTGTGGCATCTCCTCCTAGGAGACAAGCTTTCCCTCTGGCTGGTCCCAGACTTCAGTTCACTCTCTCTGCAAGCATGAGCTTCTTTGGAGACCCCCCCCCCCGGGAACCATTGGTTCACTGTTCTGATAGTCCAAGTGCAGGGCAAAAGTCTCTTTAGAATATCTTCATTTCTGCCAAGATGGTTACACTCTTCAACAACCAGGACACAGACAGAGACTCTTGGCCAAGTGTTGTGCTGAGCTGTGGTTTCTACTCTGAAGCTTACACTTTGGGTGGATTTCAGGGGGTAGGATGGCCAATTAACCTATGAATTATTTACTTCCAGTTACAACAATTACTATAAGAGTCTGGCTCAACGATAAGTCAAATTAGGCCTGGGGCCATAAAGTTTTTGTGAGGAATGAATAAGATATGGTGTGCCTAAAATTGAGGGGCAGGGTTGAGCTATCCCTAATGGGACTTGCTTAGAACTAAATGTGAAAGGTCAGCATGGGTCAACAGTAGACCAATAGTAGACTTAAGATACCCCAAAGGGTTGTAATTTTTTATGAGAGAATGTGATTAGTCTAACCTTTGAGACTGGCTGGGCTGATGTTAGGGGAGTTAAGAACTAAAAGTGGCCACTTGTTTTGTGGTCTAATTTAAGCTCTCTTTCGTAGTAAATGCTGGGTGAGCGCATCTTGGCTCACTGCCTACTCTGTATCTTTCCAGGAGCCAAGGGTATTGTAAAATGTACTCACATCCTTTTCAGTGTTCATGTGCGATGAGGACTAAGTACAGCAGATGAAGTGCCTAGAGCTGGGGAAGTTGAGTTGATAATCAGCCAAGGAATAAGAGGAAAGGACAGAGACATGTTAGAAATATCAAATGCGATCTTTCCTATAAAATATATAAAACTTGTGTTTAGAAGAAAGAATAAGATCTTTCTGTCTCCCTCACCTTGTTATACTTGCAGAAGTTAGAATCCTTTCCACCTAGGAAAATCTTTATTTACACAAAGAAAGTTGATGGCCTTTATCCCTTGGTGCATTGACCTCTTTTCCCTTCCTCCTCTATTTCTTATGCACAAATTCTTTTAAGCAACAGAATAACATTGTGTTTTTGGACCCTAGCCAATGGAAAAGACACAGCCATCACTTTCCTTAGAGTAAAAACCAAATTCACTTTCTGTTAGGACCAATCGAGACAATGATGAGGCACACAACAGATCTTATATGAAAGAGGTTTATTAGATGGAGATGAAGAGAGAAGAAAGGCGGCGCCCTAACAGAAAAAGGGGAGAGGGCAAGAGGGCAATAGAGAACAAGAGAGAGATAAAGTAGTGGGTTGATCCTTTTAAAGAGCAAAGTAACCACACCTGCCAGGTGTGGCCACTGGCCAAAGACACATGATGACATCATAGGTTGCCAGGCAACCCAGAACCAGGTGCCTAAATACTTATATTTCCTGTCCGTGTTCACTCCCCTGCCCCTTCCCACTCCAGCAAACACTGTTGATCAAGAGTAAAGTTTGCCTTGTCCAGACACTTCAGCTGGAGCATGGTCACACTTTGCAATTCTGAACTTATTTCTATAGTGGCAACAGTGAGGAATTCAGTGCAGACTGCAAAGGCCAGGGTAGTATTTTACTTGTTGTAAAATGATAGCTAGCTCTCATGACTGTGGTTATTTTAGGTTAAACGCTGGAACACAGGAAGCCCGAGTTCAAATCCTACTCTCCTGCATCTAGGTTTATGACCAAGGTAATTGTTACTTCTGTGCTTCCATTTCTGCTTCTGCAGAAAGAAACAGTAGTGCTGGCTTTCAGATAGCTGTGAACGTGTTTAAAGAGTGCAGCATTATTACACCTGGCACATTCGACTTACTAGCTCTACCATTAGTAATGCTGACATTGAATATTAAATAGAAAATCCACAACGCAACTTTTCGTTTTATTGTTGTTATTTTTATTAATTTATAAAATGAATCTGCACTGCTATTAAAAATCAAGGCAGATGGGTACAAATTTTTGAATAGACTAAAAGGTGGGCTACATAGCTCAGCGGGTAAAGGAACTTGCCCCTGAACTTAAGGATGCGAATTCGGTCTTACCACCTACATTACAGGAAGGAGAGACAGACGAGGGTGCTATAGGTTGTTACAAGCGCTGTAGCACGCTCCACCGCTCCTTCCTGCCACACAAAATAAACGTAAAGTTAATTTTGTTAAACAATATGATTAACCCATTGTTAACCAAATTTCCCAGATCATACTGTTCAAGGAGGTCGTGGGAGTGGAGCGCATGTCAAAAGCACAGGCTGCTGGGCTGCCAGGCATAGAAACAGAGCTACTGAATCACAGTCTTTAAAGTATAGACTCGTAATCTTTCAATCAGCTCTGTAGGCAACTGTCCCGCACTGGAAGGGAGGTCTGATTTAGGAGGGCTGCAGTGACAGACTACGTTCAAGCCACCTGGCTCGAGCCTACAATTCCCATGTAGTCCCGCAAACTAACGAGAGCGAGCCAATAGCCTGCCGGGAGTTGTAGTTTCCAACGGCCAGACCCAGTCTATAAGAACTTGGGCGATGGCTCTAGGAAACCAACCGTCCCACAATGCAAAGGCCATCGATGACGCTATTAGACGAGCGCCAGCAGCGCAGCGAGTGTGGAGCGCCGAGTGCCCCGCCGCCTCCCACCCTGCCGCCTCCGTCGCCGCCGCCTCCGTGGGGGCCTCCGTGTCTGCGCAGCGCGGCCCGCGGCTCCCGGAGGAGCAGCCGAGCGCGGGGCCCGGCGCGGACGCGGGGCGCGGCCATGGCGGACGGTGCGGGAGCAGGCGCGGGGGCCCAGGCTACGGGCCCGGCGGCAGGCTCGAGTGGGGCAGGCGGCCCAGTCAATCCTGCTTCGCTGCCCCCGGGAGACCCGCAGCTCATCGCCCTCATAGTGGAACAGCTCAAGAGCCGTGGCCTGTTTGACAGCTTCCGCCGGGACTGCCTGGCCGACGTGGACACCAAGGTACCCGGGCGGCGGGGGTCCCTGGGGTCTGCCCACCCCGCTGCTTTGATGTGCCAGAGCCGGGGAGTAAAACCAACGGTATCTCGGGAGCCTCCGCAGGGACGCGCCCCGCGGGGCAGTACCAGCTCCTACTGAGCAGGGCACACCTGAGCGCCACTCTAGCCCTTCCCTTCCAGCTGTGATTTTTTTTTTTTTTTTTTTTAGTCCAGCCGCTTTCGGAACTTAGGGCTACACGCATATAACTCCCTTCCAGACCAAAGAAACTTGTGGTTTTTTTTGTTTTTTTTTTCATCGATCGGGAAAAGCAGAGTGCATTAGAAGCGCCACCGTTTCTCTGAGGTTTACCACCCCTCCCCCCCCCCCACCAGGGGAGGTGATTTTAAGCACGGAATGAATTGGATGACACGTTAATAGTTCTTACCTTTTTCCAGCTGAATGATTTGCAGACTTGTATGAGGTCAAATGGGATAAGCTGTGGAGTCAGCACCCTTATTTCGTACCCTGTAACTAATTTAGAGGGAGGTAAAGCCAATGTTAGATCCAGTGCCGAAGGCCAGTCTCTTCAGTAAAAACGCTAGTTCACCTTACTTAGAAAAGGTGTAGGCAGAACGTTTCCTTTTCCCTTTACAAGCTCGATTGCCAAGATTAGGGTTGTGGAGTTAGGAGCCCTTTGCTGACTAGGAGGGCTCCCTAGGGTAGTGGTTGCTCCTCATGCTGTTAGGGCTGTAGATCACCCAAGCCAGCTGAGCCAGATAGGCCTCAAAGGGGAGGGGGGCTTGGTTGTCAGCTGCAGGCTGCCTGGGCCTGCCTTAAGGCTTTGATGTGGGCTTAGGTCTGCCCTCCATACACACATTTTAGGCAACAAGCTGCACGGGTAGGCCATCCTTTCTGCTACATATTCTCATTTTGTGTTGTCAGAGCCATGCCTGACCACACAGCCTCAGTTCAGTCAGTCCTGCCGGACTCAGTGCTCAGCATTGGTAGGGCGAAGGAGGTATTATCTGCCCCCAGTAGGAGAGGAGGCTGGGGTCAGAACATTCATTTCTTGCACTCACTGGGTAATTTCCTAGTCTTGTTCTCAAGCAGGTGGGAGCACTGAGAGTAAGAGCCTCAGGCTCCCTTGAGAGTCACAGCTTTGCCTGGAAATTCTTCCCAGAGCTTCCTTGGCTTTAGCTGTAGTGACAGGTGCTGAGGCTTGGGTGGCCCTTTCATTTGGAGGGGCTTTCCTTGGTGTATTGCTGTAAACACTCACTGTGAATCAAGCGGGTAGGAATGTTTGCATTTTAGGGATGGAAATTATTGAAACTCAGAAGTCAGGATGAAGAAAAAAAAAAATCAGAGCTTGTCCTAGAACCCAGTTCCTTCACAGAAACAGCCTGTACCAGTCCTCAGTCACGTTGCAACCAGAGGGGGTTGTCGTACTTTAAAAAACTATTTTATTTATGTTTTTTTATATCTCTTTCTCCTTTTCCATCTCTATTCCTTGTAATACCCCAACACTAGGTAGGAGAGCAAAAGAGTTAGTGGGACAGGAGCACAGTTCTCTTAGCTGTTTCCTGCTGGTTAGGATCGTAGGGTTCCTTGGAGCCAGTCCAATCCTCATTTCAGGACATCTCCAGCTTCTTGTCTCACTGCAATAACAGCAACCAGGAGCCACAGGCAGGAAGCAGCAGCAGCCCCCTTGTTCTTTCTCCACACTCTCTGGGCTCTGGCATATTCTCTCTCCAGAGTCCTCTGATTTAAACTCTGCAGCTGGCAAAGATCTCCTCTCAGAGCTCGAACAAGGCAAATAGTTTGCTGCTGTGGACCATCTGAATCAGTCCCACATCCCACGCCTGGGATTAAAACAAAAACATGTTTATATCCACAACAAGAGGGACCCTTTGCTTACTCCTCTGAGCTTGAAAGTCTGATGTCTAGACGAAGATAATGCTAATAGGCTCTCCCTTCTGTAGTTTCTTTAAAAATAGATTGATTTATATAGGTAATGCCCTACACTCTGTCTGGCCGCCGCAAGGCAGGCACCCAGCTGACTGTTGATTCATAGCTGCTGTACCACAGAGTGAGTTCTGAGGTCAGGTGGAAGTGGTCTAAATGAGAAAATGTGTTTCTTTGAAATGCTGCCTTTTGTCCCAGCAATTGGAAGGCAGAGGCAGGAAGATCTCTGTTAGTTCAAGGTCAGCCTGGTTTACAAATCAAGTTCCAAGATAGCCAGGGTCCACACAGAAACCCTGTCTCTCTTAAAAAAAAAAAAAAAAAAAGAAAAAAGAAAGAAAAGCAGTGTTCTAAGTGGCTCACTGCTCCGACACTGTCACATACACTAACATGGTCTCTTCTTCTGAATGTCTTAGCCAGCTTACCAGAACCTGAGGCAGAAGGTGGATAATTTTGTGTCAACACATCTGGACAAACAGGAATGGAATCCTGCAATGAACAAGAACCAGTTGCGAAATGGGCTGAGGCAGAGTGTGGTTCAGTAAGTGGTCCCAGCATGATGCCACACAGGCTGACAGCAGTTCGTGGGGGTCCTGGTGCGTGGTGCTTTGTAGCCATCTGCTGTCTTGTGCATCAAGGGGAACGGGAGCAGAGCCCTGGAGTGCCTGCTGCTCCGATCTGGGTGCCTCCTAGATGTGTGCATCAGTGGCAGCTCTGGAAGGTCTTCCGGATTCTGAGACTTGTTCCCCGTTCTCTGGAGCTTCAGTGTAATCTGAACGTGAGAGTGAGTTTTATACCAAGATGACAGCATTTAGGTGTAGAAAGTGAGTTCTGTGTGTCCTGTGACCATGATTGCCGAAATGTGGTGACAGTTTGCAGGAAGATGTCTTGTAAGACATTGTTCTTACAGAAACAAACTGAACCTTTGCTAGAGCAGGTTCTGATCTGTTCCGATCCATTTTAGCTTTTAGCACAAAGGCTCATGCTCGGCACTGGATACTCCACTAAATTGTTGAACAAAAGTTCATGGAGTGGGCCTCTAACATAGAGCCATCAGGGAACTGTGGTGAGAAAAGCAAATCTTGGCAGGCTGAGATCTGACTGCACTTGCTAACAGTGGAGAGATGCTGGCCAGTGGTGACTGCCCAGGATGTGGAGGGAGTTGGCCTTGGAAAGCCGAAGCGCAGGGCCTCTCATGATGCTGCCCAGGATCTTAGTTGTGCTGGTGCATACCCTAAGCAACTCAAGTAGTACAGTCATGCTATAGCCCCTAGGGGCTCGTATGGTAGACGCTGATCCCAGTGAGGCATTGTGGAGGCAGGTGGCAGAAGGTGTTGCGACCATGGGGCCGTCTCCCCCGTGGCACTGTGTTAGTTCTTTGAGAATCACTTGTTATATCAGCCAAATGTGATGCTACACTCCTGTCATCCTAGCATTTGGGAGGCTGAGGTAGGAAGATTAGGAGAACCAGGCAGGCATGGATATGTAGTGAATTCCAGACCAGCCTCAGCTACACAGTGGGACCTTCTCAGAGAGAGAGAAAGAAAAAGAAAGAAGGATGGAAGGAAGGCAAGAAAAGAAAGAGAAAGAAAGAAAGGAAGGAAGGAAGGAAGGGAAAAAGAAAGGAAGAAAGAGGGTGAGTTCAGCCATTTTCTCACTAGGCAGTCCCACTTGGCATGTGCACGCTCACCATTGAGTTGTACTTCAGATAGGGACCTTCAGCAGCACCCTCTGGCTGGCACTGTGCTGTTTGGACTGTCTAGTTATTAACATCATGAGCCAAGTCTACCTCTTTCCGTGTTTCCCAGCCTCAGTTATTTTGTTACAGCTACACAACACAGGCTGTGTGAACGCAGGTCACACGCTACAGTCTGGATTGTACCATCTTCCTAGTTTTGACACTATAGTGTATTAGGTAGGGTAGGGTGTATGAGGCTCCTTGTATATTTCCTTGCAACTTTTGACTATACAGTGATTTTGAAATTTAAAAGTTTTTAAAAATAGGGTTTTTGTGGATAATCTAGCACTCCCTGGGTGTCCTGTGGCCACTGTGGTTGGAATCTTGTAAGTACAGAAAATCACCACCCACGTAAAGCTCCCTGTGCCTTAGGGGAGTGCGGCATCGTGCGGCATCTAATGCCACCCACACTGTCTTTCCTGGTCTGTGCAGTCTCGCTTCCTTTCTCAAGGTGAGCTCTGCTGGCTCAGAGGTCTAAGAAAGTAGGGACCAGTCGCTACCGTTTATTGAGAGCCAGAGTTGTTATGTGTCTCACCAGTCCTCACAAACATCTGTCGCCTGGTTTGTGTTGGAGGTTTGAGTTGCTGCTGTTCTGGCTGCTAAGTATGAGTGCTGAAGAAAACAGAGGCAAAACAAAGGCTTGCTGCCTTTGACGCTATGGCTGCAGTTGTCGCTCTGCACCTGTGGCCAGGCTCTTTCTTGTTCTTTGTCACATGTGTTGGCCTGTGCAGCTGCTCAGCTTTGTTTGGCTGTTTTGTACAAAGTTGAGGCTGCGTTAGAAATGGTAGGTAGCAGGCAGCTGTGAATCCCTTCAAATGAAAGACCAACAGCCTAAACTCTGGGGAAAATGGGCATTTGCTGCTGGCCTCTCAGATGGCACTTGGATCTTTTTGGTGCAAAGGAGAACTCTCAAGAACTAAATAACAGTGGTTTGTCTCCACAGGTCAGGCATGTTGGAAGCAGGAGTGGACAGGATCATCTCTCAGGTGGTGGACCCCAAACTAAACCACATCTTCAGGCCACAGATAGAGCGAGCAATCCATGAGTTCCTGGCCGCCCAGAAGAAAGAAGCTGTGCCAGCTCCCCCTCCAGAACCTGAGAGCCAGGACCCTCCAGTGCCATCCCAAGACGCTTCCTAAGGTTTGTACACCATCTTTATCTCTGGCTGACCCATGTGTGAAATGGTTAGAAACGGGCAAGCTGGGATTAGAAGTCATGTTTCACACTGATTCAGAAGAGCGCTGGGAGTGGAGCCCACCCGTGATGAGCCATCTCACTGAACTCAGGACTAGCACACTCCCGTCTTAGCAAGCGTGCCCTGTAACAGAGCCAAGCAAGTCAACAGGGGAAACCTCATAGGAACCACTTGGCAACTGGTTTACACAGGGGCCTCATGCGGAGGGAGGCTCTGAAATTGCATCCACATGGCGCTCCCCCATCACTGGTTGACATTTTCATAGGAAAGCAAGTAGCACCCCAAGTGCTGTCTCAAGTGAGCTCTGTATTTCCATGCTGCAGCAGTTAGTTACCGTGCAATTCTCTTCCCTTTGTCTCAGGTTTGAGGTTTAATCTAACTTAAAATTAGCTGGAGGTGAATGCGGTGGCACGTTTGGGGAGCCACTGTACGAGCAGCCTGCCATTTCACACCCCTGGGGAGTACTCTGCTGCTAGTGCTCTCCTGGGAATCATTAAGACGCTGTTACTAGTAACTTGGGTAGGGGCAGTTGACCAAGGCCTTTGAACATGGGTGACTGAAGGTCGCAAGAGCACTGGCTGCTGCAAGGCACTGCAAGTGGGGCTGTCTTCTTGTGCCCCTTGGGAGAGGTCCTTGATCTATCATGGACTGTAAACATTTATTTTAAATCTCTTTCATTTCATTGTTCATTTTTAAGGAATATATGGTTAATGAATGTAGGCCCTTATCAAAAATAGGATTTTGACACGACTATTATTATTTTTTTATAGAATATGCCTGATACCTTTGGAAAGCTCCATTTAATGAAGAAATGGATTCCTGTTTCATATGAATATAAGTTTAGTCGACCATGCCACTACTGATGTCAAGAATCTGGCCTTGACTGGGGTGATGTCCATATGGATGGAGAGCAAGTGTGGTGGTGGGACAGTTGTCCATACTTGCTCACGCATTGTACTGCCTTTTGACTAGTCTGTCAAGGGTGTGACCCCAGTAGACACTACAGAGGTTTAAGCACTACAGTGATGACCTGGGCTGTCCTGAACAAACCTTTATACTTGAACACAGCCCCTGCATGTGGGTGTTAGCACCTGTGCTCTGCGGTATGCAGGAGGCAGGCTGGAGGCCAGCGGGTTAGGACAGCAAGGGTCATTGGGAGCAGCTGTTTGACGGTGGCTTTGATGTTGTTGGTAGAGTTACAGGCTGCAATGTGCAGCAGTTAGCATCAGTAGCCTTAAGGTGGTTGTGACCTGTGTTTGGGATTTAGCAGTTTCCTTTCTCTTGTCAGAGGTAGCATTGGAGCCCTGGAGTGAGTGAGGAAGCCGAGACTCGGGGTACAAGGAAAGCCCGACAGCCTCTGTCCTAGCACCTCCCTGTCCACAGGGGCAAGTCACTCTGGGATGTGGTGCTCAGTTCTTGTGTTTGTGTTTTTGAGAAACAACTGCTAATAAATAAGATGTTTTACAGTAAAGTCATTTGATGATCTTTTCCTAAAATTTCAACAGAACTGTAGGGCCTCTGTCCGTGGAGGTGACTCCCTTTTCTCTGCCTGCCTGCCGTCTCTGTGTATGGCAGGTGACTTGATGGGGACGAAGGGCTGGAACTTAGAAGTACCCCGGCTCAGGCTGGACGGTGCAGCTGGTCAGGAGTAGGCCATGTCTTGAATGTTCTGATGCATCTCAAGCTTGGATGAATACCAGTACTCCCCTGAGTCTCTCAGGGCAGAGCAGGGGGAGGTGGGGGTTACCATTCAATGTTCTGGGGAGCGTGAGGTTTGTGTTTCTTTTCCTTTTCTGTTTTTAATACATTAGTTGTTGGCCTGGCATGGGGTCGGGTGAGAAGGTGACAGGTTGCTTGTGTCGAGGTCAGAAGACAATTTGAGGATATTGGTTCTCCTACAGTGTGGGTCCCGGTGGTTCAACTCAGGTCATCAAGCTTGGTGGCAAACAGCTTTACTCAACAGCCCAAAAGTTTGTATCTCACAAGCTCCCAGGTGATGTCACAAAGATTGCTTCACGCTAAGAGTCCCTGCTCATAGTGAGCATGCTGCTGACAAGTTGGTCTAACTTCTTGGGTTTGGGTTTGGAGGTTTTGTGGTACGGGGGTGAGGGGGTTAGAACCCAGCATCTCGTACCTGCTGAGCACATGCCGTACAGCTGAGCTCCATGCCCAACCCAGAGCTAATAGAATTTGACCCAGCTGGTTGTTTCTCCACCAAAAGGAATGTTTCCCTTCCAGCTTTACCACAAAGTCCTCAGAGGACTTTGCTGCCTGCCGAGAACTCATCAAGGTGTGTGCAGCAAGGTGGCCCCGCCCTCAGCACCAGTGAAAGTGACCTCAGAGGTGTGGTCTGTTTTCCCCTTCCCAGTGCAGTGTCGTCTCCATGGAACAGGTTGCTGGCCTTGGCAGTCAGGATGGGAACCAAAGTTCTCAGCAGCTAGGGACAGGCCATGGTTTTCCACCCTGCCATCCTGCACTCCCCAGGGAGGCTTTTCTGTAAGACCACAGACCTTGGGACTTCCTGAGACTGCACCTATTTCACACTGGCCTTTCTAGCTGTCCCACACTGACCCCGACCAACTGAAAAAAGGCAGAATTGAAGAGCTCAGGAAATCCCTACCTTCAGATTTACCCAATTTTGTGTTTTTAAGCAGGTAGGTTTTGATAGGAGTTCTCTCAAGTTGTTTATTTTGCTACTGAGGAAGACCTGATCAGATGCCCAGAGTTTGAGAGTTGCTGGGAGCTTGGAGTCTCCACAGTTCTGTCACCACATTTTGCCACTAAGACTCAGTAAGGCCAAGTTCAGAAGACCCAGGGCTTTGACGGTTTGAAGAGGCTGTAGCCTCATCTCTTCTCTTAGAACAGAAGAGGGGCTTTGACTCCTAGCTGCATCAGCAGGGAAGAAGTGCCGTGTCCCCAGGTGGGTGCCTTCAAATTGCTGGAGGTGTAGTCAAGACAGCCCTGCAAGGCTTGGACAGGAAGGACTACTGTCTTAGGAGCAGGCTGCCAGTCAGAGCTGTTTAGACAACCCAGTCCTTTGGGTTCGTCTCAAGACCTTAGAGAAAATCACATTCCAAGATCTTCATTCTTCCCCAAGGAAGGTTAGTCCACCAAAACCATTTCACCTACTAAACACCCTATTCATTGCCTTATTCATTCTTTTTACTATTTTAATTAATCCTTTGAGAATGTCCTACAATGTATTTTGTTCATATTCACCCCTATCCTCCCCCCAACAACTCCTGTTTTCATTCTTCAGCAAGACATGAATTGCCAGGGACCACAAGCAAGTTAGGCATCCCTCCCTATGTGGATAAGCCGTCGCAAAGCTGAGTGGAGCATGGGGCCCACAAGACACGACCAACACTGGGAAACATTAAGATTTAAGCAGGGTGGGCCTGGTTAAGTCAGGGACATCAGAGTAGTGGTCTCTCTGAAGCTCACTTCCCTTGTCTGGACTAATGCCTGAGGTTGCTGTGGGAGACCTTAGTTCCTGTCATGTTTCCAGTCATTAGCTTGATACTGATCCAGCCAATGAGCTCCTGGAACCAGTTGTTCCAACTGTAGGTGCTCAGTACAATTTGTGGCTTCTATAGAGGGGGGTTAGCCGTGCTTTTTTTCACTATCTTGTCCTTCACTGACTCAAAACTCAGCAGGTTCTAACATGCTCTGTGCTCCTCACCAGCACTGTGAGCTGGGGCTCCACCAAATCATTCCAGAAGGCCAGTGGACACTGATTCCCAGAGGCAGTGTTCGGAGGTAGCTCTCTCCAGATCCACAGGTCAGAGCCTCAGGTACATTAGTCAGTGCCATTTCAGGCCATCTTCCCCAAGGCCGGTGATCTGACCTGTCGTGATGGACTAACCACATGGTTCACACGCCTGTTCAATGCCTCCATGCTGAGAATGCACGTCTCTGGACTCCGCCAGAGTCCCTTACAAGGACCGCCCGTGGACCTTTTGGCTTAGCCACGCCTGCATGTAACTCAGCTCCCAAGTGGTCTTTTGATGTTGAGTTGACTCAGGACACTCAGAGCAATGCCCAGAACTGCCAAAGGACCTTGCAGATTGCAAGGATCAGGAGAGATGTCTGTGGGGACCCAGCAAAGGTCAGGAACTTAGTGTTGGAGGCTGGCACTGGGATTTGGGCTTGAAAAAATGTTTAGCTAAAGGGCTCTGTCCGTCCTGTGCCCCGTGGATGCCAAGGACAGGCTAGGAAAGTTGACACAGCACATTGCCAGTTGTCAATCACCTTTCTGGGCCAGTATCTTCAGGACTGACCTCCAAGGCCATGTGGTAACGATCACATCTACTCTCATACTGCTTGCTACCTTGCCATTCTGCTGCCTCCAGACACCTCAGGCCTTGGCCCTCTGTCCTGAGACACTAAGAATCTTGTACTCACCAGTCAGTCTTCTCAAGAAGAAAGAAAGGAACCAAGAGGCATTGTCTTGTGCAGTTTCATTTGAGTGTCACAATCCTGGAAGGATGGTCTCCGTTATATGAAGAAAGCAAGGCTCACAAGATGAAGGACTTGGCTCACAGCCAGCTGAGGAGCACTGACCTGCAGCCAGACCTTTTCTCCCTGCACGCTGGTTATTCAGCCTCTCTGTTAGTTATCAGGTCCAACCATGTCAGTCCACTGCCATTCCCAACCTGGGCCCCTTCAAATTGATATGATTCCAAATGCAGTGGCCTCATCTGCCATGTGCTTGCCATAAGAGGTGACAGGGCACGGGTGAAAGCTAGAAACTTGTCTTTTCCTCCTGGCAGAACCCCCTTACTTTTGAAGGCTGAGTAATACTCCCTTCTTTGTGTTTAATACATTTTGAAAAGCCTGGCTAATTTCTAGCACAAAACCCAAATCACCCAAGACACATCTCAGAACGTGCAGTGTGAAGCGTCTGCTGAAAACCTTTGGTCTGCCCTCTGAGGTCATGGGGTATGAACTGAGCTCCTCCTGAGCAGGCACTGGCCCCAAAGTGCTGACAGCGGAGAAGGCAGCGAAAACCAAGAGTTAGCACGTGACAGCCCCTCCCATGTAGCGTAGCCCGTCACCTCGACAGCAGTCCAATAGGAGCAGAGGCAGCTGGGGACCATGCCAGCCTACTGGGTTTTACACATGTCCACACTGTCTTATACCCCTACCCCACCTCCACGTGCTTTTTCCATGTACTTTCGAAGCTGGGTATTGTCTCTGGAAGAACCTGCCTATGTCTGATCTTGCCCAGGGCTCATTCTCCACTGCAGCTTAAACCGCTGCAGACTTACCCAGCAAACTTGGTCCACGGAGCTGTTCTCATGGTCTATGAAGCTAACAGAAATGTATTTATAGCCTGTAAGTTATTAATAGGATTTTACTGGTTTCCATTCTGAGCATGGATCCCTCCATAAATGCTTTCGGGCAGTGGTAAAAACATGGGGAGCATTATTGGGTGATAATCTTCATGAAGGGAGCATTGTGAATGTCACCCCAATTCACCTTGTTAAGTCTACGAGGTTAAACACATGGTTTATTATAAAATGAGTCCTTTGACAGAGAGGACTCAGAACCAGGTCTCTGGCCTTTGCCCCTGCTTGCCCCCACGTCCCCAGGAAGATGTGTACGCAGTTGACACTGGTAACATGGCCCTTTATCCATAGAGCCTGACAGCTCCAGGAGACAGGCTGGGCCACACAGGGTGCTGTTTGCCTAGGCCAGTTCTGGGACAATGTGGCCTTCAACCACAGCCAGCTTTAGAAGCCAGCTGTCTGCTTCTGTGCCCAAGCCCAAGCCCTAGAACTCAGCACTCCACTGAGATTCAAGCCCCACCCCATCCTTCTAGGGCAGCAGAGGCAGCACACGATCATCCACGCCTGCAGCTATGCTAGGCTGTGGCATGTCAGGCTGGGCACCATAGGGTGGAGGGGAGGCCTAGGATGAGAGGTTCCAAGGGCAGCAGAGTAACCCCTGGACCCCTGTTCTTTGTACCTTCTGAGCTGCAGAGAGAAAATGGGGGGGGGGGGGCTCTCACCTGACAGCAGAGCCAGCTCTCGGCCCACTCAAACCATATGAGGTGTCAGAGAGGACACCAGACCTGTGAACTGAGATTGCCAGCCGTGAGGCTTGGCTAGAGCCCAGGGCTGACCATGTGGGGGTATTGTGCTTCAGAGGAGGTGAAGAGTCAGCTAGGCAGGACCACAGCTGTACAAGTTTCTGAGGGGAGCTGTCAGAACTAGCAAGGGGAGGCATGTGATACCCAGGCGCTGTCTTAAAGGTGGTTTGGTGGGGGGGGGGGGGTCAGGGGAAGTGCCCAGACTTGTGCCCACCCCCTTGTGAGCAGTGAGAGCCACAGACATGGGGTTCAGAGTCAGCGCTCAACCTGCATACGTGGGCTGAGGCATGGTACTGCTCTAATGGAGGGAAGGAACGGGGTGGAGTGGGCTGGGCCAGCTGGGGTTCGGTGGCTGCAATAGGCTAGAACAGGCCTGA